AAACACCGTCACTCCTAATTTACTAAATACTTCTTCAAATTGAAGCTGGCCAAACAGATAATTTAAATTCATCGACTTTAGATACAATTATTTCGATTTATAAAAAACAAAACCTTTTTTCTAACTCGTAAAATAAAAACAAAGTAATACATTTTTATTATGAATGATAATATATATTCTCATGCACGTATAATACACAAAACGTATAATATACAAAGTTCCAAAAATGATCTGATAAAAAAAATACAAATTTGGTGAAGAGAAATATTATACAATCATAGTTGCACGTAATCGTACAAAAACATCGGAGAAAAATCTACGAACAAATGTTTTTAGGACAAGGTGAAAAATTAGTGAAAATTTAAATCGAGAAATAACTTTTTAATCATTAAAAATACATATACTGACGACCATTAACCGTATATGCTTTAACTTGTCGCTTGACAAGCTGGATATCCGCTGCTTCGGTAGGTTTGCACTTGTTGAATGTGGTCGTAATAATACCCAAAAAGTCGCTGAGGTTGGACAGTACATCTTTGTATCCGCGATCGTTGTTCTTTAATAGACCTCAAATCGCCCGGTACGTTTCGGACAATATAAGGCCGTTTAGAAAATCGCTTCCGACGTACTGCATCAACCTCGAGTAAAATCCGTGATTTGAACGTACACGGCTTACATGGTGGGTGACCAGAAACTTCGCGAACCACACCATTCTCTCGTGGCTGTTAAGCAGGTTTTTGATGTGCTGAAACTTGCCACGAACGTTCAGCTCGTGGAGGCACGTCATGGTGATTATGATTTTTTCCGCGTAATCGTCTTCGGGTGTCTTCGTAGGCGTAAACGGTAAAGCCATTAACGATGTGATCGTCCCTTCGACGTTTTCGGCACAAGCGGACAACCCTGCCGAGGCGTCCGACGATGGCACGACCGTTGCCACCATTTCTTCATGACTCTCGATTTCCGCGGGCTTCAAGTCGATGACACTCGCTTCTACGGTAATTGTTGCTTCGCGTTTTTCCGGCTGAGTCACGACAAATGATTCCTGTAACCTCTTGATGTCCACGCTTTTGGTCGACGGTTGGGTCCTCGCCTCTACCCTCCGCTCCACAGGCACGATTAATCCGGTTAGTAACGTTTTGAAATGTGGAATTTTAGATATAGAAACGCAGTAATGAGGACAGTACCATAATCGATACCTAAACCGGATCAAAGCAGTCGTGCCAAAGTTTTAAATTTCCGAGTATGGATGTTCCTTGAGAGCATCCAGGACAAAGGCCAAGGCTTTTCCTAGAGCCTCGGAATCGAATATCAAACCGCGTTCGATCACACCACCGAACATATGGGCACATCAGTTTAACGCTTCTGCGGTGTACGTTCGGAAGCATTCGATCTCGCTGAACAAGTGCTTCAACACGTAATCGAATACCTTTCGGTCGTGTTGGACCGACGACTTTTTGAGTTCCGTTAGAGTGTCAAGAACTTTTTCTACCGAATGTGCGAGTTCGGCTCGATGGTCGAAAATCTGTTCGTAGCATTTCAACGCTTCGTCTTTCACGTTGGCAAAAAAAAACGAAAGTTTCGGGACCAACGTGACGACGGTCTCTGTTTGCAACGCGAGCAGTTCGCGTCGGCGGTAGATCGGGTCCATCGAGACGATATTGTGCTGCTCGGTCGCGTCCCCTTGCTCCGTTGATTGGCCGTTTTCGCGGCCACATTCTGGGGATTTACCTGTAGTCCGGGTAAGCGTGGCTCTTCTGGGCAACAACAACGTCATTTCGGAAGAATTACCGCGTCAACTGCTGTTGAGAAACAAAAAAAAAAAAATTAAACCAAAAACGATTTGCTGCGTTTCACGACGAATCCGTGCGACGATTTTCGTAGGAGATGTACGTATCGTTCAGACGGTTATGGGAAATAGGTTGCTTTTATTTTATTACGATTTTTTTTTATAAGCTTTGAACTCCATGAATCGCTCGGCAACGCCACATGCTGGTCATGGTTTGTCTTTGAAAATGTTGGATTGAGATCGCTTCATATTAGTTCGAAATTTAGATGAAAAACCTTATAAAAGCTTCATTAGAAAATTAAAGCCTACCCTTATAACGACTTTAACTACAATATTTGTTCATATGTTGTTTTGAACGAAGTTCTATGTAAACTTCTGCCTGTCATTCTGTATGCACTTCAATAAAATTATAAATCGATGGATGTGGGTGGTAAAATTGATCTTTCAATTGACGGTGAAATAGGTTAACTGGACCATTAGTAGTCCTTGGTTCATTCAAAGGTAGCTCAGTTCAAAGGGGTGGTAGAAGTCTGCTGTAATTTTTAATAAAATTTGATAAAATATGATTTAAAAACGCAGAAATTCTATACATTTCAGGAGCAATAAAAAATACTTCTTAAAATGCATCAGAAATTTCAATTAGGGGTAAAAAAGTCAATCCAAAAAAAAAAAAAACTATAACCAATGTGAAATTTCCGTATTATATTTGTCATACTCAATTTTAAGTTCCAATTTTCCATATTATCTATATTTATCTGACCTACATTAGTGAATATCTAGGGAGAGTCCATACCAAAAAATAAGTAATAAGACAGTTTATGTGTGTTCGAACAGGCTATTGCATGCTGTCTGGCCGCGACAACCGGTTCCCCCCCGATAGCGTGCCGATTCTGAAATGTTCGAGAACTTTCGGTCGGCACGCTTCGTCGAGCTGGCATCACGATCCGGGCGATCCGTGGTCCGACACTTGCAACCGAGCGAGCTGGTGGTTCCCACCGGGTGTGTGACTTTTCTTTTGCCGTCGTGCATGTTACCGCCGGGTGTGTGACGTTTCTTTTGCCGTCGTGCATGTTACCGCCGGGTGTGTGACGTTTCTTTTGCCGTCGTGCATGTTATCGCCGGGTGTGTGACTTTTACTTTGCCGTCGTGCGTATCACCGCCGAGCGTATTACCCCTTTTGCCGTGGTCCGTCAACTTCGTGTGCGTGGCTTGTCCTTTCCACATCGCCATTCAAGCCATCGGCAGTGTCATCGTCGTCGAGGTTGGTCGCGTCCAGTGAGCTTCCGAAGTCGTCAACATCTGTCGGTCTTGGTGGCTGTCGCACGTGCTGTGTGCACGGTCGCGTGGGCGCAACCACACAGACCATAAGACCGATCGAGGTATTTATGATCGAAACTGGTGACACGTAGCGTGACTTAACTTGTGTATTGTTCACAATAATTATTGTTCATTTTTTTGTCATATCTTTATTATAATTATTATTATTATTTGTATAATTGATAATATCTATGTTCATTTGATTATTTTAATCCTTGGGCGCCCATCAAATGTGTAATTATTATTATTGTTATTATTATGGGATATTTACTTTAATATAAATTAACGGTATCATAATTTATGTCCTTGACTTAATTTAAGGCTACCTCTGTCCCTCATTCCTTTTTGTGGATTGACGTTGTAGTCGGGTTTATTTCGAGTGTGGCGAAGCTGTCGGGTTACCTCTGTCCGACCATTGAGGTTTCGCGTACAATGTGTATCACAAAGATATAAAATAAAATTTAGAATCAGACACGGTCAATAGCTTGCACCAGCATAACTATTGGCTATTCAAGTTTATTTTTAAATCTAAAGGAATTAGATGTATTTAGATGTATAGAAGGAAAGAAACTCAATATATGTGGTTGAGTACTTAAGTGCCTTATATGAAAACTTAATTTGGCAGATAAAAATAATTATTTAATCTACTTTAACGAGTTTAATGCGTTTGAGGACAAGTTTTTCAGAATTAGTCTGGAAAATAAAAGTAACAAATGCTTATAAGTTATTTTTGTAACTGATTTATCAAATAAGGGTTTTTTTTTTAATTTTACCGGTTCTAAGATTAAATACTATATTACAGACAATTTCAGTTGCCAGGGGAAATATGAAACAGGAATTATCGCATAGAGAATTTATGTTAGCATTGTATATTTTAATTTTTTTAAAGTTATTAGGTAACCTTAGTAGTTGAAGTTATTGATTCATAGCTGGTACCAGTGACGGCGTGACGGCAGAATTTTGAGTCCCTGGACTCAAGTCAGTGGGTGGGTAGGTGGGTGGGTATTGACCATTGGGTATCGAGTGGGTATGTAACATGCAAAACGAATAGTGGGGGAACTCTTTTAACAAGCTACTCTTAAATTTCTTTTTAGGTGGGTAGGTGGGTGGGCAAAATCTTAACAGGACTTATGAAGTAAAATATTTCGCACCGCCACTGTATTATAGTATTTATAATCAATTATAGCATTTATTGTAAATGGTGACTCAGTCTGGTTAGGTATTAACATGGAGGTAGGTAGGTAGGTACAAGTTTTAAATGTGTACCTATATAGTCATATAGATAATATATATAGATTAGATATAAATATAAATAATATATAATAATATTTATATAGGTAGGTAGGTGATTTACTCATAAGTCGTAAATCATAATTAATTTTAATTAAATTTTATTTTTAAGCCGAACTCTTTTCTTTCTGTTAATGAAACTATAACATTAATTCCTGGGATGTTTAATAATATTGTTAACTATTATCGGAATCAAAAATAAATAAAATTGATTTTTAATTTTTCTAAAATATCATATCGGCATGTTTTCGTAATACATTCAAAACTATTATTTTAATAAATAACGTGTAAAATAATACATTGGTGCGTTACATCATAGAGATTACTCTTTAAAAATAATTGCGTTAATTTAAGTAAAATGTAATGAAATTACTGCTGAGTTACTAAAAAAGTAATTGCGTTACAGTAATTTGTAATTTGAGTTACGTTACCCAAAACTGCTTATAAGTAAGAAATGAAAGAATGATGAAACAAGTCAAAGGAAAAAATAAAATAATTAATTATTTACTCAGGCGTATTGTATATATTAATTTTAAAATATAATAGAATCACAATTTAATTTGTATTTAATGTTTTTTTTAAAATCTCCATATGTTACTGAAATCAATAATTATACAAACGTTGCTTGATAATGTGATATTTTATTATAAACCGATTAGTATTTGATTATTTTTTTGTCTTTTTGCCATCTATAGATAATTCTTTGCTGAATGGAGCTTCGGCATTCGTGTGTAAGTAAAATTTAGTTCCAGTTATCCTGGGAAAAAAATTTGTTCCGTTACATTTTTAATTTAAAATATTTTTCTCCCATCCTTAACTATTATATTTATATTTAAGTATGAATAATGTTTATGTTAATTAATTCATATTTACTTTGGTGATGAATGATGGCCCATATTATTTATATTGTTATGCGCGCATTTGTTGCTTGTGAATAATTCCCACGAATCACATTCCAAACTTTTAAAACTATTTTCATTATCAATCGATTCGCGATAGAATAAATAAGCTCTACTATGATCACATATCACTGTAATTCAATTAACAAAAATGCTGTTTAATGAATCAAAAAACTTACATTATTTCGATATTCAGAACAATCAAAAGATTTTTTTTTTTATATACATACAAATAAATTTATATAAGTATCGCTATTTTTTCAGCGTATCGTTAAGGTGTGTATCGACTATTTTCAACTAGAACAAAAATTGTTAGAAACATATTTACACATAATTGTAATATGTCGCTGACTAGTAGACTGTGATACTCGAGAAACACCGTACTGTAAATATTGAGTTCACAGCGATTCGTAACATTTATACAGCAAAACTTCATGAGTTTGTAATACTTTTTCATACTTGTTTATCTAATTTAAAGATCATAGTAAATTCGTATTGTGGCACATTTACGTATACATATTATTTTAACCATGTGCATAAATCAGTTCTGCGCTAGCCGTCGTCCAGTGCACACCTGTGCTGCGTTGCGTCTCTCTTATCTAATCGCGTACACATAGTATAGTCGTTTAGTCTCATTAGTCTAATTATTAAACGCAAAATAAACGTAACTAACGTCCCACTAGCACCGGCTCACGTGTCGGATGCCGTATCGCGCTCTCCGAAGGTCGACTTGGCCAAAGCCGACCTTTACCTACATTATATTATATTATTATAAATATAACGTAATTAAATAAATATTTAATTAATTATCATGGCTTCAACAGTCAATAATACAAAACCTAACAATTTAATCTCTCCGATTAAACTCGTAAATAAAAACATCGCAAAATCATCAGATTCAAGCTCTACGACACTAAATGATCACAACAACGATAACTGGCAAATTAAAAAAGACACAAAACCAAGCAAAAGGAACTTATCTAGCTCCTCAGATCCGTCCGTTTCATCCCCAACATCTCAAACATAGAAAACAAATAAACGTGTCAAGCCACCGTTTATAATAGCAAACCGATTTCAAGTCTTATCGCCAAACAACGATGAGGTATTTTCGTTACCCGAACAGGACGAAAAACAAACATCTACGCAAGTAGAAACTTCTTTCAAACTACCTCCCCCAATATTTATGAGAGGTATTACTGAATATAATAGACTTTGCACCGAATTTAGTCAATTTATTGGTATAGAAAATTTTTATTGCAAATCATCAGCAGACCAACTAAAAATACAAACTGCGTCCGCGGAAGCATATAGACTCATAGTACATTATCTGAAAAATAACAATGCCCAATTTCATACTTACCAACTCAAACAAGATAAACCTATTCGCGCTGTCATACGAAATATACATTCATCAACCACAGTCGATGAAATTAAAAAAGAACTGACAGATCTATCATTCGAAGTACAACAAATAACTCAAGTTATACATAAAACTACTAAACTACCACTTCCATTATTTTTCGTAGACCTACCACAATCCGAAAAATCTACTGAAATTTTCAAATTAACCTCACTGCTATACGCCAAAATCAAGGTAGAAGAATCTTACAAACATCGCACAATCCCACAATGCTTAAACTGCCAGGATTATGGCCATACTCGGGCCTACTGTGGCTATCCTGCCCGCTGCGTTCGCTGCGGCGCTCCACACTCCTCTTCGGACTGCCCTAAACCACGAGAACTACCTGCCAAATGCGCCCTTTGTGCCGGAGAACATCCAGCCAATTACAAGGGATGCACCGTCTTTAAAGAGTTACAACGTCGAAAAAAACCCAACTCAAAAAGTAATTTTTTACATGATAATTTGTTACACGACAATATTAATACAAATCCAGACGATAATATTGAAAATGTAAAAACGAGCCACCCATTAACTTCCACTTATTCCAAAGTTAATAATAATAATCAAATGCCAAAATCTTTTGCACAGGCCACCCGAAATCAACCAAATCATGTCCTTGTCAACACATCACCCCCTTTAGATAACAATAATGTCTTAACTAATTTTATAAATGAATTTAAAACTCTTATCAACCCATTGATAGCTCTTCTTACTCAAGTAATTTCATCCCTACTCGAAAATAAAAAATGATAAATTCACAAACTAATAAATCCCTTATAATATTACTTTTTAATGCCAATGGTCTTAAAAACCACGTCACGGAACTCCAACACGTTTTATACAACTGACGTATCGACATAGCCTTAATCACCGAAACCCATTTTACGCTATATTCAAAAATTTCAATTCCCGGTTACATCTTACTTAAAACCAACCACCCAGGTGGCACAGCCCACGGGGGTGTTGCAATACTTATAAAATCCAAACTTCGATTCCATCCACTTCCTTGTTTTTCTCAAGACTTCCTACAATCATGTTCCATCTCGATACAACTCAATAATATCCCGATAGTCATAGCAGCAATTTACTCCCCCTCCCCCCTAAGCATAACATAACTTTAAACAACCTGTCTGACTATTTCGAAACAATAAACAACACCTTCAGTAATTTCACTATAGGAGGCGATTACAATGCTAAGCACCAATCCTGGGGTTGTCGTACGAACAACCCACGAGGCAACCTCTTATACAATTTTACTAACACAAAAAATTATAAAATCCTCTCACCTCCCGGACCAACATATTGGCCAACTTCTCAATTTAAAAATCCAGATATTCTCGATATTTTTGTTTCAAAAATCCCTAATAACTTATATTGTCTTACTAACAATATTCTAGATCTCAACTCTGATCACTCCTCGGTCCTTCTTAATATATCTGGCTCTCCTCTACTAACCACTGAACCACCCAAACTCTTTTCTGCTTCAACCAATCGACATATGTTCCACAACTTAGTTCATCAACAAATTAATTTAAAAATAAGGCTGAAAAACAATTCTGATATCGACGAAGCAGTTAACAGTCTTACAAAAATAATTCACTCAGCAGCAATCACTTCAACAACTATGACAAACAAACCCACTCAAATACACTCAAATTCTCAGATGCTGCCAGCTCAAATTCGTTCACTCATTGTAGAAAAACGCAGAGCACGAGCTCAATATCAATACACTCGCTTACCTTCCCACAAATTATTATACAATAAGTTAGCTAATTCTTTAAAAAAAACCCTAAACAAACTTAAATCAAATGAACTCGAGCAAAAACTATCAAAACTTTCAACGACCGACGGTAGCCTTTGGATTGAAACAAAAAAATTACTCCAATTTAAAAATCCCTCTCTACCTATTAAAAAAACTGATAACACTCTAGCTATTTCTGATTCCGATAAAGCGGAAGTTTTTCTAAAACATCTGTCAAATATTTTTCAGCCACACACTGACATAATAGACCTCCAGCACAGCAACCAAGTTAACGCATTTCTAAACTCTCCCCTTCCAGAAAGCCAACGTGAAAAATTTGTCACCCCGAACGAGGTAAAATTTACAATATTAAAATACCCAAATAAAAAATCACCTGGATACGACCTAATAACAGGTGAAGTTGCCAGATGCCTCCCAAAAAAAAGCCATAATTCTTCTAACTTACATAATAAATGCAATCATAAGGCTTGCCTACTTCCCAATTTTATGGAAATTTTCCCACATAATCATGTTCACTAAACCCGGTAAGCCACCTGACGACCCTGCATCATTCAGACCAATTAGCCTTTTGCCCTTTTTCTCTAAAATTTGCGAAAAACTCATCCATAAACGACTATCCTCACACATCACCCTCAATAATGTTCTTCCTCACTCACAATTTGGTTTCCGATGCAAGCATAGTACAATTCACCAAGTTCATAGAATGGTCGATACCATCTCCTCCTCGTTAGAAAAGAAACAATACTGCACAAGTGTTTTTCTTGATATGTCTCAAGCATTTGATAGGGTCTGGCACCAAGGTTTATTATTTAAACTCCGGAAATATCTACCCTCAGCACTTTTTCTATTAATTAAATCCTATCTTGACTATCGCCATTTTCAAATTCGCTTCGGCACAGCCTTCTCAAATATCGCAGCAATTAATGCAGGAGTACCACAAGGTGGTATATTATCCCCTATATTATTTAATATTTTCGTTTCCGATCAACCCACGCTAGCTGACACTCTTGTAGCGGATTATGCAGACGACAAAGCCATTATGTCAATGCACGTAAACCCAGATATAGCTTCAGCTACTCTTCAACTCCATCTGGACCTAATGGCGGACTGGTACAAAAAATGGAGGGTTAAAATAAATAGTACCAAATCAGTCCACATCACCTTCACATTAAAACTAGGACATTGTCCTAACGTTTCAATAAATAATACTCAAATCCCTACATCTGACGCGGTCAAATATTTAGGTCTTCATCTCGACAAACGCTTAACATGGAACAATCACATAAAAACTAAAAGACTGTTACTAAATTCACGCTCCCGCATACTCAAATCACTTTATTCAAATCAATTTACAAATTTAAAAACAAAAATAATAATATATAAATCTCTTTTAAAACCTATTTGGACTTACGGACTCCAACTCTGGGGAGCAGCTAAAAAATCAAACACCAACAAAATTCAAACATTCCAAAATATAACACTCCGCAAAATTACAAATGCCCCATATTTCGTTCAAATCATACACTCCATAACGACCTTCATATAAAAACAATTAACGAAGAAGCCAAAACTTTCTACAATAAATTTCACCTCAAACTTTCGAATCACTACAATCCACTCATAAAAGATCTTTCCATTCGAACTCTACCTGGTAATCCTCAACGCAGGTTGAAAAGAACATGGTGTCGTGACCTTCTCAAATAAATTATCAATTTAACTATTAGCATTCCAACGCACTATTTACATCAGCCAAAGTGTCACTAATGGGTGGCTCCTTTAATCACGAATTTCTCGTCTGAAATATTTTTTATTTCTATTTCTATTGTTACACTGCTCACATATGCTTATTGTGCAAATCGTACAGATTGTATATTTCAAATTAAAATTAAAAAAAAAAAAAATGTGCATAAATCTATTTTAACTATTAAAATTAGTATATAAGTCTTAACATCATAATATTCGAATTATAATTGTTCTCGAAGTTTTTACTAGCCGTAAATTGATCTATTTTCCAACAGACTTACGAGTAAAACCCGGAAATGCAATAACGTTTCTACATCCTGGCTGGGATCCTCCATTGTTCGGATAATAATCAGAGGTTCCCAAAAGATGAGTATGTCCTGTAACATATGAAGACGTATGCATAACATCCACGTAATCCGCATCGTCTTTATTCAAACTTCTAAGTGGTTTTAAACACGATCCAGATGACTCAAATCTGTATCCAGCTGGGTCTAAGCCTACACGGAGATAAGGTTATTTATTCTCGGATATTTATCCAATATTATCAACAATATACATCTAGTTATCTGTTAATTGCAAGGTCGTATCTAAAAATTTTTTTCGGGAGGGGTCCAAAACATGTATATTGTAATTTTATTGAATTTAGACTTTAACTTTTGATATTTGGTTAAAAATTAGAAAGAAAAAGATTTAATTTTCTTTTATTAAAATGAATATCATATTTTCATATGATATTATGATAAAAATTAAAAACAGTCAATGATTAAATGGAGCTTAAGTCATTTTTGACTGAAAATATTTATGTTGGTATTAAAAATAAATAAGTATTTTGAAAATTCGTAAAATATTGAAGACATTTCGGGGGGGGGGGGGGTCCAGACACCCTTGAACCCCTCCAGATATGACCTTGGTTAATTGTATTGCACATACCTGTGATCCTAGCGACTTTCTTCTTCATCAATTCGAAAAATACGTTCCCACAATTTCCAATAACATGAGCACCAAGACTATGCCCTATCAGATGCACATCAGAAGGGTTAATAAGTTTATTAGCGACTAGTTGAATCAAAATATAAGCCAATGCTGTTCCAACATCACTACACTTTGAAGATGCAGAACAGTATAAAATAGTCCCTGCAAACTTCTTCCAATCCAAACTTAAGACGTTATATTTTTTGCTGTGTTTGACTGCGTAAACTAAATCAAAGAAAATTTAAATATTAAGGTAAAGGATTTGAGTAGAAACAATCCATATAGTTTTGTATTTAATAATTCAATATTCCTTAATGAAACCTAATTTAAGTTATCTATTATTTTTATTTATTTATTTATGCTTGACTTCGTAAAAATATTGTGATGCAATAACCCAATCGTGATGGAAGCTGAGTAATTAATAAAATCATATTTTTAATTCGAAATTAATCGAATTGAATACCGTAGGCGCAACTAGAGCCCAAATACGGAGGTACTGAAATTGTGTTATACTCATCCCCACACTAATGAATAAATCGGTATTCGTCAATTGTGCCGGTATAACAACTATACAGTACAAGTAAAAATCATAATGGCTAAAAACAAGAAATTAAAATTAAAATCAAACTTATCATTCTACATACTTGGTATTTACACTAATAGTATATATATATATATATATATATATATATACTAGCTGAATTACCCGTCGTTGCCGGGTTTAAGTATATAAATGTATGTAGTCCGGACTCGTCTCCATCGAAAGTAGCTAATTCAGTGTATAGGGAAAAAAGTAAAAGTGAAGGTAGTGTGGAAGATCTTGACAAAAGTTTTGTAAAAGAAGAAAATATTGATGAACACACTAAAAAATTATTAAACGTAGGAACATAAAGCGAGCATCGTAGAACTCGAAGTAGTCGTAATACTGAATTTGAGGAATTAAGATTTGAAGTAAAACCTAGAAGGAAAATGAATAGCGATATAGTAACACTAAAATTGGAAGAGGCAGTTAAATTAATACCAAAAAGTACTGGAGAAGATGACGTTAATCAGTTTATTCAGGCATGTGATTTAGCTATAGAGTCAGTAGAAAAGAAAAATGTATCGATTTTAATAAAATATATAACAACTAAATTAAGTGGTAGGGCTTTAGAAGCAATTAAATATAAAGATACAACTAAATGGAAAAAACATAAAAAAATATTTAACCGATACTTTTGAGGCACAACATTCCGCTTCAGCTTTACAAATAGAATTAAATTCTATTAAAATGCTTCAAGGGGAAGACGTAAATACTTATACAAATCGCGTAGAAAAATTATTTTATAAGTTAAGTGATATGAGCACTGCAAATAAAGATGAAAAAGAGGCTAGAATTATTCACGATACAATAAAAGAACAAACTTTAGTAGTATACATAATAGGGTTAATAGGTCCGATACGCACCATTGTAAAAGCGAGAAATCCAAGTACGTTGGAGGAAGCTAAACAGTTAGCGCGTTCAGAAGAAATCGAATATAAGTCTAGTTATGAATTTAATCAAAATGTAAACGAAAATCGAAATTTTAATAATAATTCATCTAATGCAAACAATCAGAATAATTTCAGGAAATTTAATAATAATAATGATAATAATGCACAAAGACCAAATTTCAGAAATAATTTTAATAATCAAAATTTTAGAAATAACACAAATCCAAATAATAATTTCGCGCGATCAAATTTTAATACTAATAATAATAATAATAATAATAATAATAATAATAATATAAATCAGCCGCAAAGACCGATAAAATGTTATATTTGCAACGGAAATTATTTCGCTAACCAGTGCACAAATAAACGTAACTTTACGCATAATACTCGACCACCTAATCAGAATAATTTTACACGACCATCTACTAGTTATAATATGAGGTATATTTCATGTGAATATTGTAATAACAACGGACATAATATAAATGAATGCTATAAAAAAATGTTTAACGATAGACAGAATAATTAAATAACGATGATAATAACGTAAATTCGGAAAACGCGAGCGAGTCGTGCGTGGTACGCGGTACACGTACGATAAATCATATACCGACTGCGCCAATTTTTGTTACGTGCCAACCGATCGATCTGATGATTCAGTTTCAACGTCTCAGTCAACGCTTGATTGGAAGTGTAGTCAGGAATAATTAAGACTTTTTTAAAATAATTAAATTTATTAAACTCATAAAATTATCCTAACTACAATTTTGTAAATATTCCAAGTAGAAATTATCTAAGTCCTAACAATTGTAACTTATAAAAATAATTGAAATATTTCTAAGTCCGGACCATAACATACACTGACGTGAAGGTGCTCAGTGCAGCATAGTCAAAACTCGTCTGATTTGCCCTTGTTTTCGGGTCCCTTTTATATGTGATATCTGTATGTGTGTGTGTAAATCTCAAGTGTGTGTGTGCAAATGAAAACTGATAATAAAATAATTAAAATAAGATAATTTCCTGTGAATTCTGTGAATTATCTCTCAACCGGTCCATAATCAGTGACGCACAGATCCAGGATGTGGTCACCCTCGCTTTTATTACTTATTTCAATTAAATAATAAAATCTACATATTTAGTTGTTAATAATCTAACTTGTCCACGGTTGTGGTTTTTGTAGTTTTGATTATTTAAATAGTTGCAAATAGATATGTGTAACTATCCGTAGATGTTAGAATATATGTAACCATCCGTAGATGCGTTCACAGGAACCCCCTTGTTGTGTAAGTGTTCATGTGTGACTAAGCGGGACGCGACACAATTAAAAAAATGATGAATTGTCTGTGTACACTGGGACATATCTGGTCAATGAGAGCATCTTGCGAATAAATGATTGTGCAGAAATCGTTCGGTAATTTTATACATCCCGTTTCATCTGTAGTAACTTTCCCATCTCCAATATCTAACAATTGTTTTGAGAATCTTTTGCATGCAGCTTTTTTTGATTGAATCGAAATCGAAGTATCGAAATCGTTCGCTATCTATCTTTATATATATTTCGACCATGAATTGTTGACAAAGCTTATGCATCGTAAAATAACTTAGTTCTGATCGCGTCTAATCATCAACCGATATGCATAATAATTTTTTGAACTAACATTCTTATTTGTTTTGGCACCTGTTGCGGGATCTTTTTGTTTAATATTTATGCAATACCCGTCATTTACAACCAAAAATAAAATCAATAGTTTTTAATAGATTTTAATAATTTTTTAATAGTTTTATTTAATATAATTCATTTTCAATAGCGCAGTTATCAACCTGGTCAAAAAATATTAAACCGATTTCAACCCTTTAAATTCAAAATTTCGAAAAATCCTTTCTTAGCGCACGTCTACATCATAATAGCTATCTGTAAGCCAAATTTCAGTCAGATCCGTCCAATGGTTTGAGCTGTGCGTCAATCAGCTTACTGTTTTATATATACAGATTTAAGATATATATATATATATATATTTACACTAATCCTAAAAATTTTGAAAAGTTCTTAGGTCTAATATTAAAATTAGTTATGTCTATTTACTATTTATTTTTTTTTTTCATACATTTAGAGTTTGGTCTATTTGTAATAACCAGGGCTTGGGAGTTAAAGCATTTGCTTATTTTTATGAATTGACTTAAAATGTAGCAGAGTGATATAGAAGTGTACTCGTATGTCAAGTTATAACACGTACAATTATAAAATTTGAAAGTGTTTTTTTTTTTTTTGCTTTTTTCAGAAATTTTTCAAAACGATGCTTATTTCCAGTTTTTCTGATTATTTTTGCTTATTTGATCAGTTTTTTTACGTTTTTATAGTTTTCTCCTGCAAAGTCGTTTTTGATAGAATTAAAATTAAAATTAATTCCTATCTACGTTGTCACGTAGTTTGTAGTCGTCCAAGGCATTGTAGTAGGTTTAATAAAGATATTCCAACGCTGAAAATAGAACCGAGTGTCAAATGTCAGAATGATCATGAACAGAGAGAAAAGTTTACACAGAGGCGGATTTCCCATTAGGCACTGCAGGCAGCTGCCTAGGGCGGCAAAATTTGGAGGCTGCTAATTCTGTAATGTTTTATTAGAAAACATCAAACGTATGTAAAAAAAAAAAAATTGAACAATTATTTACTTTATATTTACGAAAAATAATTGTATAATAATGGGTGCATTTTGTTAATATGTTAATGTCGGAATTTCGAGGAAAAATAAATACCCCCACTGCCATTTTATATTACTAATTCAACTGTAATAATAATCCTATGCTGCTATTATGAAAATCTGTTTTTAATAAAATTTGGTGGACATCCATTGACATTTTTTCAAAGTAGAATAATTAATAAAAGTGAAAAAATACTTTAAACATTCAAATGGATATAGGTATATATGTTTATATATTTAATATTTTGATTAGGTATTTCGGAAGGCGTAATATAACTTCTTCGCTTATTACAGGGGCGGCAAATTTTTAGTGCCTATAGCCGTAAAAAAGATAAATCCGCCTTTGAGTTTACATTTTATTTTTCAGATAAATCCCTTAGAAAATCCATAAAATTTTTAAAGTCTTGAAATTGAAGATTTATTTATTTTTTTTGATTTTTTAGTTAGAATTTTATAGTTTTTTTTTTTCAATAATTATTTTTGCTTAATTTTAAATTTCTTAAAAGCTTATTTTAGTGCTTATAATGATATTTTTAAGTGCTTTTTTAAGCGCTTATTTTAATGATTTTAAGTGCCATAAGTCCCGAGCCCTGGTAATACTAAGAGAACACGTATAATGATTGTTGCATTATATTATTTTTAAAACTTCATAAAAAAAACAAAAATATTTGGATGGGGTGAATAAAAATATTTCCCAAACGCCGAGTGAAATGACTCACAGGCATATGTTGTTCTTTCGCATGATATGTTACTTGATGACCAAAGATACGGGGGAAAAGTTGCATTTTCATCAATATATTTATCCAGGGCCGTTCAGGGGGGGGGGCAACGGGACCATTTTACCCCAGGCCCCACTGTTGTAATATTTTTAGGGGGCCCCCAAAAAATCTTGATGTATAATTAATAATAATAACGAATTGTTGCCGATCACCGTTATTGAGACAAAGATTATCTTCTTTGCGTCATTCACATAATATTATAATGTAATACTTATACAGTTGTACAATGCGCGCGTAAGAGCATGTCACGCCAGTCACGCAGTCAAAACAATTTCATCCACCGGTGCGGTTAGTTACATATTTGCATGATGTAAGTAGTAAGTATGTGATGCAATATATCAATTTAAAAGAGCTTGATTGGTTATGGTTTGGAAAAATACGTTTACAAAAATGTTGTTATTTTCAGTGAGTATTTTGTTAATCATATCTTATTATTATGGTCGAAGGGCCCCAAAATTAATTTGCCCCTGGCCCCGAAAAACCTTGGGACGGCCCTGTATGTATCAATAAGATAATCGCATAATGTATTAACTCGAATATCGATCGGCGCAATAGATGTATACCTATAAATTATACTCTTATTATACCGGCGCAAAGGATGAATACCTCTTTTCCAATCCATAATTTTTTTTTTTTACATACGATTTTCGGCGCAATTGATATAAAGCCGAATAAATAACCTTAATTCATAGTTTTTGATCAAAAATATCAAATTTTGTACTTTTGATATTAAGTTTCTGGAGAATCGTAATTGTAATTTAAATTCAAAAATCTTAATATTTTTTTTATAATTTATATTCTGAGCGAATTGGGAAAGTAATTTGTATTAACATACTTATATGTTTTTTTTTATTTATCATGTCTATGTGTACAATTTTGAGAAGTTTGGTATCAAACATCATGAACATGAGAGGTTTTGATAAGAATTATTGTAAAATTGGTATTTCGTTGAACGATGATTCTCAAAACTTCCATCAAATGTTTATGATTATATCAAAGGTATGAAAAAAATTAAAATTAAAAAGATGGAAAAATTTACGGTGTAGCGGTTTTTGACCAAATTAAATATTTGTTTTTATCGTAATTCAAAAATTAATAATACGAGAGCAGACCTAAAGTCTTCATTTAATACATTTAAAATACTCTTCGTTATTGATGATATAGTTTTCAAAGAATTCAAACTATTTTATTTAAATGTTTTAAATATATTTTATTTAAGCTATTTATTGATACTTAAAAATGTCATGTTCATTTAGCTTCTTTTGTAAAATGCTGATAAAATGATTATAGCTCGACTAAAAGTTTTGAAAACTGAGTAGAAAATTCTTCAAATGTATATTTTATTATTTGAATATATATGTATATTTTATAAACTTACTTTTTTTTATGGAAAATACTCCATTCACTTCGTCAAGGAAATTCTCGGGTAGCCATCCATGAGTCACCAATTTTAAAGGCAAATCTTTTTTCCACACAGACTTAATTTGTTTTATATTTTTCAAATCGACTATATAACCGTATGAGTTTTCACTATTGCTTTTGCTAATGATAGTATATAAAATGCAAACAGTAATATATATATATATATATATAATATATGTATATAAACAAAACGCCCACGCAATAAATTGATTTATATAACAAATATACATGCGTCGCAGACGCCCTACAATAGCAAACTAACCTTACAAGTGTAATAAAAATAATGATAATAATAATAGGATATACACATACATATATGTAAAACTAATATCACCGGTATCGAAGTGGTAGGGAGGAACCTTAGTGAAGGCGTCAACTAAAAGGATTTACACCGGAGGTAATCGACAGGTCGCTATCGCATATGCAAAAGAAGCGCACCACATCGACGATACGCGCACAATGAGGATAGCGAAACACGTACACACAAGAGAAAAAATGACGTCGATACACATGCGTACAACGGTGGCAATAAATACCCGCACAAAAACATTAACGTTGATACGATCGCACCAGTGTCGGCAAAACAGTAGAAATATGTCGATAAAAAATCGGACATACGAAAATTATAAGTACATTATGGCGAACACGACGGTGTGCAACAATGTACACGTACACGGGACCGATCGATTGCTCCCGTTCAGACGGCCAGATAGACGCGAACACCACCTAAAGAAAAACCGGCACGCTCGATAACGTGACGTCGCCGTTTTTCTTGTTGATCGGCGTTATTTTCGATATGACATGATAATGTCATAAACAAAAGGGAGAGCAGTCGGCTATCGAATTGTATCGAAAGTTCTAGAATATTCCAGCGCGAACAGCTCCCATATGGCACGCAGAACCCCAAAGAAAATCTGTAGGGTACCTATGGACGAGATACTGAGAACAGTCAGAAACTCATAATAGGGATCTGATCAAGGAATCATTTATAACAGTCCCTGGTTAAAATAACACTAGGACTAAATGGACAACGCTCAATCGAATAATAACGAGACAAGAAAAATGCAACTACCTTCTCCAGAAGTGGGGCATGGTAGACTCTCCACTAATGCAGACAATCAAACATGTAGTTGAGACGTGTCCCATTACAATATTTGAAGAAGGATTAACAAAACTACACGAGGCGAACCAACAGCTGTAAAATGGCTTGAAGAACTTAATATACGTTTGTGATTTACGAGTATATTGTTATTAGTTTTGATGTAATAATAATTTATTATACATACTATAACCTATTATACCTATATTTGATATATATTTTTACTTGTTTTATTAGTTGACTAATTATCATATCTATTTATTTGTTTGATTTTACTAAGTGTATCTTTACATTTCTCATGTTATCTAAAAATAAGTCGAATATGTCATATGCAAATAATAAAAATAACATTTAGTGTATGATAATAATAATAATAATAATAATAATATAATAATATTCATATAATAATATATATATATATATATATGTTAGAGCGTTTAAATTTTGATGGTCCTGTGTAGATTGTAATTTATTTTTAATTATATTTAATGATGAAAATAATCGTTAACTAGAGTAGTTAATAACAGGCACTGTAAGAAAAATTGGAAGATACGTTTCCACATTTTGAAATGTATATAGTATTTGCATATCTTTAATTAATTTAAGTTTGGCAACGAGATTTCTTGATGTTAGATGAGAATATATTAAACTGTGAAATCGAATCAATTCATCTGCAAAATTATCAGGAGCCAAATCTAGTTAATTTGCAGAAATTTATTGTACATTTTTTATTCTGTTATTCATTTAATTTCTATCCTGATTTTTATTACATAGAAATTCAAATTTTTCTTTTACTTCAATGTATGCCATTTTTTGTTTATTCAAATCAGCTATAAATGTATCAAAAATGACATAATGAATATCATTAATAAACTTCGTTCGTGGATCTAAATGTCTTAATTCAGAATCAGTATCATCTAAGTGTATTTTCACTTAAAGTGTATCTAACCTTATCGTTTATCCTTTAATTTTCTTTTCATTAAACTACTTAATTTTTTTTGACATTTTAAATTATTAAAAATAATAAACAAACAAAAAATAGGTATAAAATAAATGCGACTGACTTATATCACAGAACTAGATGTAACTACAAAAGACAATAACTACGCCAATATCTGATAATATTGTTACTACGATCATAATGGCAATGTTGATCAAAACCCTTGCTTTCGGAGAAAAACCATTATACTTTAAAATCCGCCAAAATATCCACTTCTATTTTGTTCTTCCAAAATATGATAAACAGGTATACAATTAATATGGTTTGCTTAAAGTCAGTGGGTCCAGGACAAATATCCTATTAGTCCTCGCATTAATATTATACTGACTATAGTTAGTATGAATAAATTATTATAAATGAAAATTGTAAGTATTAATTTAATACTTATATTTAAGGCTTTTTTTATAGTATAATAAATCATCAAAATATGCCATTTTTCGGGACACTTTATTCGGGAATATTATCTTTTGATGTTATGATAGTAGTAGAATAATATTTTACTGAGTACCTATAAGATATCATTAACTAAATATTTATTTTGATTTCGAGTGGCAATTAATTTGTTTCATCAATAATCGAATACGATATAATATTTTAAATATTTATATACTTATAATGTATTATACGAAAGCAAAAATACATTTGAAAATCAGCAATCACACCACTTAGGCAATAAATAAAATCATAAAAATATTTATGTAACGTAGGTATAGATTTCTTATTGCACCGGGTATTAAAGTTATCGTATTTTAATAATTTACAAAATATGTAAAATAGCGTGAAATATACATACTCAGGTTGCCAAAATTCAAGTTGTAAGCTATCGATTGTCATTTGAACAATTATTGGGATTTCAATTCCGGATGCTTTTTGAATTAACTCTTCGTCTTGCTTAGATTCTAAAGTACAAAAATTTATATTCATTTATATGATGAGTATAATAAAAAATGAAACGAAAAATGTATGTTTCTACAAAAAAACCTCTACAATTTATAACTTAATTTATTTATATCTTAATATTCAAAATGACAAAATTAAAATATTATTATTGTTCTATGCCCATCTATGAAGATTTCTATTATTTTAATCACATCATGATTCTTATATAATACGGATCACCTTTTTTTTTTTTTTTTGATAAGTCATTAATAATATTAATTTTTTCTTAGGTAATTTAATTTATTTAAATTAGTTTTAAATGGTATTTTCTTATCAATATTTAATAATTGTTTTCAATAACTTTTAATTTATTTAGTTTCTTATATATTCTGAGTATCGGAAAAGGAAACATACGAAATAAACATGAGTTCCCCTCGAAATAAAACAGTTGAGCAACTGGATACTTAAGCTGGGTCCACACCAAATGCGCAAAACGTTTTGCAACGTTGCTACCATGTTCGGCGCTTTTGGTTTGGACCTAGTCCGCGCACGAACAAGCATTTTCATGCATGTTGCGCGTTTGTTCGGGTTGATATGGAAAATGCGCGGTGTTCAGCGCGTTTTGCTTATCTGGTTTGGACGAGAAATTGTCAGTGTTGTATTGTTGTTGCTTCGGTGAATACGAAATTGTGTATTAGTTTAATAATAATTATAACAAACAAATAGAAATAGTTAATAAATAAAAAGAAAGGTTATTAATTAATCATGAGTTGCAATTCAGAAAATACTTTGGATCAAGACAGAGTTATCCAACTAATTGAGTCTTATCGTGAAAAACCAATTTTATGGAATCCAAAAGACAAATCGTACTTCAACAAAATAAAAAAAAACGATGCTTGGGTTGAATTATCAAATTTATATTCGTGTGATATGGACACAATAAAAGCGAAGATGAACTCTTTATTGTCGTCTTTTCGAAGAGAAATGATATGCATTGTTTGGATATTTTAAATAAATACATTCAACTTGTATAAGAATCTTCAGTAGCCAAATATCTTTAAGTAACTGATAATCGCTCTTTTATTGGAATAGCATATCTATAATTGGTGTCTTTTTTAACAATTTTGTGACCAATTAAATTAATTAGTACTTCGAAGTCTTCAGAGAACATACGACAAAAGTTTTTAAAATGACCCGTGTCATGAAGTGTAAAATCAGCTAATAATTGTGTACCACTATAAATTTGTCTACTCTGTAAAACAGGAGTCTCCCAAAATCGGCGTCGTTTACGGTTTTTTTTTAAGTAGACTATATAAAACAAAAAACGCAGCACTAGTGACCTGATCGGACATTTTACTAGTCAAAGATAATTTATAAATAAATTGAAAACGAAATAGCGGACAATTGCACTTTCTGAACGGCACAAACACGTTGACGAAAATCGGAAAACATATGATCATGTTACAACATACATTTCTACGCGCAGTATGGACGCCTGTCCTCGCGAGAATGTTGCAGCTATGTTACAGCAACGTTGCGCGCAGAGGCGCGTTTGGTGTGGACCCGGGTTTAGTATAAAACTTACAAAAAGTAACATTTATCAATAATAAGATTCTAGAATTAAATAATTTATAATTTAAAAAATTGTAAAATTAAACCATATAAACATATTTTAAAAGTAAACCTGTCATTTCAGCTGTGTGCCATTGATCTTGTGTCTTAGTTAGGATACCTAAAAAATATAAGTACACGTAAATTATAATTAAAATATGTAATTATTACGTATGATAAGTGTAAAATAATTTAATGCTTGGGATGGAGAATTCGCGACGGATATTATTTATATCTACAAAGGTTATTCAGAAAGTAAGTTCCGATTGCGATTTTTAGTGAAGGGGTGGGAATAGAGGCATGGTCTTGGTGTCGCGTAAACCTGTTCATTCTGCGTCAGTAATAAAATCAAATGGCTCCCAACCCCCAGATATATCATCATAAATAACACATATAGGTTGTATTATAGTTAAATAAAAAACTTTTAATTGTGACATTGTTATATGTATGACGAAAAAAAAATATACTTGAACTTAATGCCGCATCAATTGTTACACTAGTTGGTTGGATTTGTTTTTTAGTGGCAGTTTTCTCTGTATTCTCTGATTTCCCTGTTTTAAAACAATTTTACAAAGATATTTAATGGTTAAATTAAAATTAAAATTAGTTATAAAATAAAAGAAAATGGGTATTTTTAAATTATAATAGACGTTTAAAAACATACCTCCTTTCAGCATCTTTTTTATAGAAAATTTTGCAGACTCTGAAGACACTAAAAGAGCTAAATGTATATTAAAAAAATAATAAATATTGTATTATTATTTATTATAATTTTTATCAATTTTTAAATTTTTTTTTTAAATTTTTCTTTTTTTAGATTCTATAGTATACTTATAGATAATATTTAATAAAAACTAGCACTAATTTGCTTAACCTGATTCTACTTTTTACTCAAGGTTTATCACTGTTAAGAATTAATTTTAAACCGTAGAAGAAAAAATAAAAATATGTATGATTAATTTAATTTAAAATTTAAAAATCTTTGTAATCTAAAATTAAAATATTTAGAAACAAAATATTCCAGGTACATTAAATACTGTAATGAATAGAAAATTTTTTTAACATAAATAGGTACTATATTAGTACAATTCCATTGAACTAAAATCATATAACATACCACTGATCAACATGAACAATTTAATTTTTCCAGTCATCATTCTTTTAACTTTTATTTAAAAGTATAATTAAATTCACTAATATTTATACTCATAAAATATTGTTAGTAAAAAAATCGATATTACTAAAGAATTTAGTTTTTAAATCAGGTATTTAATTTATAATAGTAAGATTATAACATTAAAATACAAAGTATTACGATTTATATACATTTTTTTTCAACAGAAGGTTGGATAAAAAATAGTTTAAATATTGTCCGTTCACAAATTCTATCATACACACATGCTGTTTTTAAGAAACAAATGGTGCGGCAGAAAATTTGAACAGATATCATGTGAATTTTATAAATATTTATTTTAAATCATGGGTCGTTAATCTTTTTACTTATGTAGCCCATATTTTT